CTGATACTGCTACTGCTACTACTACTATTACTACTACTACTACTACTACTAGTACTACTACTACGACTACGACTACGACTACGACTACGACTACGACTACGACGACGACGACTACTACTACTAGGACTTCTACTCTTGCTGCTATTTTTTCTGCAACACCCAGCCTCTCATGAATCCTGAAATGTAAGTTTCACAAAATCACGAAGACTAGCCTCCAGGGCTTGCTAAGTTTCTCATCAAGCGATAGCTTGCAATAAGCGGTGTGGAAGGGGACCCCCTGCCGTGTGGCAGATTTTGGCAATACTGGGAGCTAGACTGCGTGCTGGCAATCTCTCCGAGAGCCGTGTGTTTTTTTTCTCGGTGTTTATAAGATTTTACAAGGAGGGGTATATGGCTTTGGTTCTTTGCAAAAACACGTTAAGAACACATGATTCTAGCGCACCCGCATCTGCAATCCCCTTGCTGGCACCTGATCTAGCTTTCGTTTCAGCCCCTTGCCCCCAGGCTAGGTTTGCGTTCTGGTTCATTGAATGATGCTTTTGGTTGGACCTTTTGGGTGGGACCTGGGATCTGGGCTCATTAGAAAGCAGCAACCAAACTTGAGAAAACCTTGTTTATCGCCTTGTGGAACTTGTGTAATTGTGGTGCTAGACCATGTGGTCAGGAGGAACGAGCTTGTCCTTGAGGCCAAGGGAAGGTTTCTGCGGGCATTGGGCTTAAGGGCTTAGGGCTAGGTCGGAAAGTATAGAAGTTATAGCCAGGTCATAACCTGTGGTTCCTTGAAGTCACGTTTACATAATGCATACATTTTTCGCACTACCCACCTAGCTTCGAGGCTATTGGGAGCGCAGTTGGGGATTCAAGCTTTTCAACGTTTAGATTTGCAGACTCGTGCTTGCATGCATGCTTGTGGTGCAGTTGTGGTGGGTGCATTTGCTTGCTTTATCACCGCGAAGGTTGTGTGGAACAGGTGATAAGGTGCTACAAACACACCCCCGCACCCAAACTTAGCCCTGAACTCAAGGTGGTTGCCGGCTACATGAACAATAACCTGGCAGCCGGCCGCACTCAGGACGTTCAACGACTTCGGCACTTGTAAAGTGAAGGGATTAGAGAAAGTGTTTCTTCTTTGTTTGAAACGGTATCTCCCATACCGTACAGGCCAAATTCCGTGTCACTTCTGATGCCGCCCGGTTTTTGAGCGTGAACTTGAGTGGGTCGACCCATCGTCCATTTTCGGGTTCAGTTTGTGCTTGAGGTATTAGCGCATCCCACCAAAACAAACGATGCGCAAAAAAGAAAAAACGTTCTGAATTCAACATACCAGGTGCAGCACCAGAGGTGGTAGTCGGAACACGTCAGGGTAAAATTTAGATCATTTTACACAACCATATGAACCACGGCCGCAATTGATCAGGCACGGAGAGGAATGATCAGGAAGAGAATAACGACACAAAGATCTCAGACGGGGAACGAGATGGCTATCATTGTTTTTGGTTCTCACCCAGACCCCCTAAAGGATCNNAAAATGGAACCCCTCAAAATGACCCCCGTTACTACGCTGGGAAACCTAGGGGATTATTGGGAGTTTCCATTTTTGGATCCTCAAAGGGGGGTCTGGGCCCTGTTGTAGTGGTGATCAATGTTTTGGCTGGAAGGATGAGCAGCAGTGGGGCCTTGTGCAGTGGCTGACATCCGGGGCATCTCTGGACTGGTTCTCGACTCTTTGGCTGGTCAGGGTTCATGGTTATGTCTTACGGCAAAAGGGGGCCGTTAAGTAATCCCCCAAAGAGTGGAAACGCAACATCGACATTGTGTGGAGTCATGATGGGAGCATCATTGGAGCATGACTAACCGGTTTGACGTTGGGTTGGCTGGAGTGCTAAGCTTGAACTCCCGGTGTTCCACATGCGCCTGCATTAAGAAGCAGACTACCTGGTGACGAGGGTAGAGACGAGCGTTGCTTCTAGCAGCAAGCAGAGGCTAACCCCA